ATACCAAAGTAAGGCTTGACATATCTCGCTTTGCATGTAATGCGTCTATCTCATATATTTGGTTTCACCTTTTGAGTTGCCTTACTGACATAAATGAACATTTTCACAATATTCTAATTTTTCGAGTTTCACCTGTACAAGACAAGAACTCACAGTCTGGATGGAACATGGCAAAACAGACTGGCTCCAGGTTGGCAAAAGAGTGAGATAAACCTATACACTCTTTCCTTATTTATTTAACTTATATGCTGAATATACATTGAGGGAAGCTGGATTGGAAGAAGATGAGCAAAGTTTTAAAAATGGAGGAAGAAACATAAACAATCTGCACTGTGTTGATGACAGCACTCTGACAGCTGAAAATGCAAATGATCTGCAAGCTCTAGTAATGAACGTCAAGGAGCACAGGGAAAAATGGGACTAAGATTAAACAAAGAAAACCAAAATTATGACAACAGGTACAGCAACCAGCCTTAGAACTGACAATTAAGATTTGGTGGAAAGTTTCTGCCTTTTAGGACTATCAACAGTAAGTGACCCAGCAATGAAAAACTATGTTGCAGGCTAGCACTTGATAGGGTAGCAATGAAGGCCTTGGAAAAGATACTCGGATGCCATAATACGTCTATATATACACAAAGATCAGAATCATGCAGGCAATGGTTTTCCTTGTAACACTCAATGAAGCAGAAGTTGGACTTTGAAGAAGCAGGATAGGAAGAGTATTGATGCTTTTGAATGCTGGTGTTGGAGAAGGCTCAAATTATCACATTTAGGACACAGTATTTGAAAACTTAGTTCTCCTGGGAAGTCTATAACGCTGGGAAAGGGGGAAAAGGAGAGAAGGACAATGGCCAGCAGTAACGTGCACCATTGGAAGATTTAAAGGGCCAGGTTAGGGACAAATCATCCTGGAGATGGTCTGTCTATGTGGTCGCTAAAAATGGACATTGACTTCTTGGCACATAATCAAATCAAAGGTAAGAAAAGGATTTGTGGGGAAGCAATACTTAAACATACTTTAAACAAGAATCGCTACATTCCTTTGTGATGTTCCTGCCCCCATCCAGTCATTTTGTTGTGACAGCCATTTTGAGGTGGAGACTGCTACTTCCTCAGAGTTCTAAATGTGGCCATAAACCAAAACAGTTGCTTGCTTTTGACCTAAAAAGTGAAAGACATGGTAAGGAATCGTGGAGTTTAAAGGAGGTTCATAGGTCAGCTAGTCCAAACTGCTTCCCTAAGGCAACAAAGAGATGCTCTACCCAGACTTTCCAAGAAAGTCTCAGAGCAGGGATTCTAAAATCTCCCAGTCACGTAAGGCACAGCAGACCAAACATTTAAATGCCTGTTTAAGTCTGTGATTCATTGCACTGTCAAATATTCTATGAAACAGGGAGCTTTTGAAGAAATTAGAAGAGTTTGTGAACTACAGAATGCTAAAAGCACTTTGCACAGGTCTTTGGTCCTGGATCCATTCCAAAGGCAGACTAAGATAAGAAGACCTCTTATTTCCTCCTCCACACGCAATGACAGGTGCTGATTCTCAACAGCACATCGTTAAAAGAAACAAGCACACACACACAATCCTTGGAACGCCTGCCCACCCACCCACCAATTTCTTGCTGCTTTCCAATCTCCCTCTACCCCAAACAGGGAAAGGACCTTTGAAAGACGCCTTAGACTATTTCAAGGCAAAGAAGAATAAATATAGATTGGCTTTATTAAAAGGCTAGCCCACGCTAGCGGCTGACTGATTCCAGGGCACATCCCTCTTATGCCACACAAAGCCAGACTTCAATAATGGCCAGATCTGAGAGGTTTTTTGCTCATTTGCTATGCCAGTATATGCCTCAGCTGTCCTTCATGCGCATGTGTGGGATGGAAGCTTAAATGACTAGCAAAGAAGCACAAAGCACGATTTTTTCAGCAGGGAATAGCTAAAAATACTGTTTGTTTTCAGTGCTAAAAGTAGAAATTGGGGAGGGGGGGAGGAAGTCATAGAACAAATTAAGATCTAGTACATTGTGGGAGTGGAAAGAGGAGACCCAGAGGAGAGGGGAAGAAAAGAAATCACAATGAATAAGAGGCAATGATGAGCAAATAAATAGACAGATGCAAACTTCCTTCATTTTGGCATGCATGTAACTTGTGGTAGAGAGGACATATTGGTTGACTTCTTTTCCAGCACACAAGGATAGATCATCTTCCATTTTTGCTACTGTTTTCCAACAGTTGTTGAAGTTTTTTTTTTTTAATTTTAAAACCTTACAACAATTTCACTTAAACCTGGATTTTTTTTTGTTCCAGTGCTCCAAGACAATCTTGCCAGATGATTTATGCATCAGGCTCTCTGGAAACAACCTTAAGGCCCCAGTTCACATGCATCACCTGAAAGTCTTGGTGAAACCCCCAGAGATCTCCCATAATGGTTACCATAATGCAGTATCTAATGTTACAGAACATTAAATCTGATGGAAGGGGGGCACTATTAAATAGCTGAAAGATAAAATCTAAAGCTGAGCTTGACTCCTGGTGACAAGCCTATGTCCATGTTGTTTTATTAGCAAGAACACAGAAGCTGTCTGCCATTTGTTGTTGTTTAGTCGTTAAGTCGTGTCCGACTCTTCGTGACCCCATGAACCATATTGCGCCAGGCCTTCCTGTCCTTCACTGCCTCCCTGAGTTTGCTCAGTTTCATGCTCATAATGTCTGCCATTATTCTGCCTCAAATACCTTGTGTCATTCTGCACGTCACACCAATCTTCTAATCTGTCCACCCATGCCTATCATTGTTCTCCTCACTGCAACCATTCACTTCTCAACCACTTAAATCCTAAAATCTGATGAGGATGAGCCAAGCCTGGGTACAGCCTGATCCAGAAAAGGTCCCTGCAGGGACTAGCTGTCTCAGGAATCCAGACAGTTGATTATCTATTTTTAATGTAATTAAATAAATTTTTAAAATGGTTCTTCACCCTGAGAAACTGTAGAGACCTATTT